CAATGATTTTAAAAATCATTCAGATTATATCATTTCAGAATCATTTTCAGTCTTATTACCAATACAAATCTTAGAATACTATTTTTCTTTTTTTTTCTGTTTTTTTTTCCATAAAAGAAATATACATACATATATATATATATATATATATATATATATATATATATATATTCACATTATTTTTTTCAATTAAACTAAAGAACAATTGTAATAAATCATAGACGGTTATATCACTGCGATCAGCGTTGGATTCATCGCGAGAAGAACTTCGTCGATTGAAGGAAAGTGTCGGTGAATTTTCCGAAGGGAAATACGTCGAGGTTGTTGAAAGATTGGCCCTGGAGAATCACGTCTTAAGGCGTAGGATCCTTAGCCGTAGTACCGACTTTTCCAATGATGCTGCTACGAGTCCGCAACCGACGTCGCCGTCTTCGCCGCCGCTGCTGCTGTCGCACCAGTCTCGTTTCGTTCCACTTCAAGTAGAAGGAGACCCTACCAAGTGAGTTTCGTAAGACTCAGAGCTAATTGACTAATTACTCGAACTTTTTCTCCTCTCACTTCTTACTCTGTGATACGAATTTTTTTACGAGAAATTTTCTTCATCCTCTTTTCTCTTCTCTTTCTCTTCCGTTCTCTTTTCTTCTCTTCTCTTCTTTTTTCTTTTTTTTTTTTTTTTTCTTTTTTTATTTCCTACGAAAACGTTTTTCAACGAATTCTGCTTTCTTCAATCTTTCATAAACCACGATATAATATCGATCAACGATACGTATATACTACGTTCGTTTACATATATAGTATCAGCCGAAAGTTCTTAAGTTCGTAGTTTTACAGACTAAAAAAAGAAGAGAGAGAGAGAGAGAGAGAGAGAAAAAAAAAAGAAGAAAATTAAACTAACAAAGTCTTGAAAAAGTATAATTGATTTTTATTATCATCTAAGAACATTTGGTTCAACTTATATAAATTATATAGATTATATATATATATACATACATATATATGTATATGTATAAATATGTATATATATATAAATTTATATATATATATATATATATTTAATTTAGATGCATAATATAATATAATAGAGAAAATTTTTGAATTTGACCTTTCACTGAACATTTTTTTTTTTTTTTTATTGTTGTTTGGTTATTAGTAAAAGTAAATTAGATTTATCGAACTTTTGTCAATTACAAATTTCATGTTTAATATTATGAAATTGTTTTTTCCTTTTTAACAATTTATATATTGACTTTTATCGGTGTAATAAACCAAAGTAAAAATAGGTTATACACAATCGATATCCATAAATGTGGTATGTATTTAAAAAAATTTCTGGTTCACTTGAGCAATTAATTTTTCAACAAATATTATATACTTTTCTCGAACGTAGAAAGAAAGGAAGAATGAAAAAAAAAGAGAAACGAACAACAAAAAAAAAAAAAGAATAATTAATTTCTACGAGGAATTACAAATTATTCTATGTTTATGAGAGACTACTGATTATTTTATCTTTATACTGTTGTTTATTTTCTTTTTTCCTATCGTTTCATTTTTTTCTTTTTTCCTCTTCTTCTTCTTCTTCTTCTTCTTTTTCTTTTTCTTCTTCTTATCGATAACACGTTTAACGATATACTCGCAAGCTCGTTAACGTGCAACCGACTGGAAGCTGGAAGCGTAGCCTTATTTACGAGTTTTCGTTGAAAGCTATAAGGAGCCATAGACGAAGCCATATAGTAAAAACATCGTTGAGTCGATTCACGCTCACGAAATAGGCAATTTCATTATTGCTATCCTTTTAAAAGTTAACTCTCGAAATGGAATGTTTTCTCATAGGCGTGGTACACGTAAAAAAAAAAAAATCTTTTCCGTTTATTCCTTTTCTTTTTTTTTTCTTTTCTTTTTTTCTTCTTTGTTTATTTTCTTTGAGCAATACGTTATCCTAGAAAATGTAAGAGAAGAATTATAAATTTAAAATATTAGGGAAGAGGAGAAAGAATGATTATAAATAGTTTTCGTCCTGTCTGATTCACAACGACGTAATGCGTACGTTATACGCGTTCTTACAGGCCATCATCATCGTCAGTGAACACGGCTAGCGCCACGATGGAAGCGTCAGGGAATAAAGTTGTCGTCGAGGAGACGGCAGAGACGATCAGAACAAGTGGGAGCCGGCGAAGTACTGGTGGCTCGAGTCCGGAAACTCAAGCTCGTGGTACATCGGTGATACGCCGTGTTCGACGTGAATTTCCGTCATTGTCTACGGAGACATCGGTCGAACAAGAAGAAAACGAAAAAGATCGACAACAGCAACAGCATATCTCGGGAGATGGTACACAGTTTAGATATATTCCGAATCAGGATGATTCCGTTACTAGTGCTATAGTATCAGTGCTGTCTAAAGAAAGTAAAGAGGACATTCGCGAGGACATCCAGGATGATGTCCAGGACGATAACGAGGGTTCAGTCGTTGTAGATCGTCTTGATATACCAGAAAAAGATAGTGAAGATTTGAGTCTTAGGTCTGTTTCCGACGGTGATAATTCTGTATTCAGTGACAATCCTGAACCTCAATCGCCGCCTCAGCAAAGACCTATACAACAGCAAGTTCAACAACAGCAACATCAGAATCAGCAACAACAGCAACAGCATAGACAACAGAGTCAGTCGGGTGAACAAGGGAAATTAAATGATCAATCTGAAAATGATTCGGAAGAGCTCGATGATATAGAGCTGATATTTACGACCGATGATACCTGTAGGGATCTAGGCCTTCAAGAAGATCTCGTTTCCATCACGGAAACCGATGCCTGGCAACAACCAAGTCCCGCCGGGCAACCGGTCCTCCTAAAATATACCAAATCCGCTGATGGAGAATCTCTTGTTTGCAACGGCGATAAGACAAGTTCTGTTGAAGAAGCAGTCTCATCTCAAAGTTCAAGTATCGATCGCGAAGAGAGTGTCGATCGATTCGACGAGAGTTCCAATACTAGATTGAACAAGATGTGGTCTCAATGTTCTGTACTCGTAGAAACTGATATTAGCAAGTGTGGTGTACTAGAGGAACCTGAACATTCCACTAGGCATGCAACTAGGAGGAACACTTTGGCCGCACCACCGACGGCTTACAGGTAATTAAATATTTTTTATTATGTTGGATCGTTCAAAAAGTTAGATTGTATCGCTGGTATATATCTATCAAAAAATTTAATATATACAATTTATTCAAACTAAGTATTTGTCTGAATCATAAATATATATTTTGTATTCTTCTATGTTTTGACTTATTAATTCATATCAAAATACTTTACAAAAAACGAATATTAAAGTTTACCATAATAAGTGATAATTACTTGTTTCTTGAAAACTAGGTGCCATGTTTTATATTTACATCATTCTTTCGAACTACATTCATTACTTTTCCTACCGTTTTACCTTACTACTTCAGAAAATAGGCCTTCGTTTTAGTGTTTGCATACATTATGTATATACATATATATATGTATGTATATATATATATGTATATATATATGTATATATATATGTATATATATATATATATATATATGTATATACAGGCGAACGTAATTAGTCACTTGCCGATCGTAAAGTGTTCTTGCTCGTTAAAGAGGCTTTGTTTTTACATACCAACGGATGCTAACGCCAACGGTAGTACTCAACATAGGTAGCTAGATAAGTATATTTAAAACGTATTCTCCGTTTGCGGCATAAGTAGCAAAGGTTCCGAAGGATAACAATCATTGGCGTAATAACGTATGAAAATCTATCGGATCTCTATCAGTATTCAAACAATAATGTTAGGGTCAATGTACCAATGCCTTTCGTAATGTAGGAGGTATATGATATTTATTTATGATGTATAAGAGTACTACCATCGTTACTAAACGTATATACTTTTACATGTACGAGCGTTGATATAAAAGCAAAAATAACTTTGCGACATAACCCATATACAGTACATACATTATAGATCGAGCAGTATTACATCGTGTTATTAGATTTTCCTTACACAATGATCTCATTTATAGATACCAACCTTGCTTCTGTCTTTATATAAAGAGATAATTACCATCATCACTATCATTATTATTATTATTATTATTATTATTATTATTATTATTATTATTATTATTATTATTGTTGTTGTTGTTGTTGTTGTTGTTGTTGTTGTTGTTGTTGTTATATTTATTATTATTATTATTATTATTATTATTATTATTATTATTATTATTATTATTATTATTGTTGTTGTTGTTATTATCATTATTATCATCATTATTTTTTATTTCCTTAATTATGAAAAATATGTAGTTGGAAATTGTCAGAAATCATTGACATGATTACACGTTGGATAATTGCAGGCCAATAATACATCGAGAAGCTTTGGCTGGTAACCGAAGAAAAAGTTCAGCACCTCTTCGTCCTGTAATGGATCGGAGTAGTGGTGCCAAACGTGAGTCAGGAGCACAAACCGACATTTCGGCCCTCCCGGCACAATGGCGTTCGGAAAGCTATCTCGCACACAAAGTGGCTCACACGTTTACAACGCTTCCAAGTAAATTCGCTTTACCGGCTGGTGTACCCGGAAGGCTCAGGTTGTCTGACAAGACACGCGAGGCAAGACGAGTGTTACTCTCGGACATCAGTTTCACCAGCATGGTTCCAGAATTGTCAAGAAGTGCTGATCATCTCTGTCACGATCCGCATGCACAGGTAAAGGAAAAAAGGAGAAGAAAAAGAAAAAGAAAAAGAAAAAATTTCCAAGAAGAAAAAAGGAAAAATCCCTGAGAAGAAAAAAAAAAAAAGAAGAAAATTCCTTTGCGAAAGTGGAGAAATCGTTTTTATTTACAGCCTCCGGTTTTTAGTTTTTTGGAGATCATTTTCGAGGAACTCGTTCAAAGTTATTACGCAAAGAGATAACCCTGACACGCGTTTGCCTGGTGTCGTAAGCCTGGTGGTAATAGAGTAGATGTGCCAGTATAAGCGAAACAGACGGCAGTCAGCGTAATAACAGCTTGATTAATTCAACGTGTGCTAGTAATATGTACGCACAATGATGCTCGTTGTGTGCATCAAGAAGGCCACGAACGAATGGAGCTATACGCGGTTTGCTTTACATCCATGAACACGTACTCACGATCTCTCTCCTCCTCCTCTCCCTCTCTCTCCCTCTCTCTCTCTCTCTCTCTCTCTCTCACTCTATTTTTCTCTCTCTGCTTCTCTCTTTCTCTATCTATCTATCTATCTATCTATCTTACTTTGACCTATGTAAGTTTCTTAGATGATGACTAATTGCATCCTATGCACCTAACTTCAACTTACGATCTCTCCCCCTCTACCCGCGGATGTATTTACGTTTATGTCCACGCTTATCCACGTCCATGAGAACGTGAGAAAAATTAACTGGAGTCGTATTTTGCGGCTTCGTGTTTCTTCTTGATGCCGCATGTGAGAATAATATACGCTTAAGATTATAAGAACGTAACGAGTTGTGGATCGTTTAACGATAGACGTCATCGAAACGTTCAAATGATTTATTTTCTTTCAACTTTAATCCATTCATAGGTGAACTTGCTATATATATATCAATGATTAGTAAATTGATTGTACAAAATTGTTTTTTTTTTGCCTGTAATCTTCTTGATAATCACACGTATACGTACGATATCAGGATATTGATAAAAACTTATTTACTTGCTTAGTAATCCTATGTTATAAAATGTCAAATATATATATATATATATATATATATATATATATATATATATATATTTCAACAAAAGCCTGTTCGTCTGATATCTCTTTAGAAAAATATTTACGTGTTCTAGACTTGCTTAGGATCTCGTGGCTGTGGACACCGTACACCGGAAGTAAATCGTCGGGAATCCTTAGGATCACCAGCAGGCTATTGGCCTCGTTGTAATCCAGGAACGGCTTTACCAAGTCCTTGCGATTGTCGTCTGTCGGCCGATCTTTATTCCTCGAGATATCGAGGTTCCTTGAGCTCGATACCATCGCCAGGATTAGAAGTCGTGAGTGGGCCACCAAGGAGACACTCTTGGAGAGCAACAGCAGCTTCTTTCGACACATGGAGAGTTCCTGTTGCCACTTCTACACCTAGACCGACCTGGTCCTCTATGCCATCTTCTCCCACTCATGTTCACCCACCTGCTACATCCTCGAGATCCTCGAAGAATATACCAAAGAGAACACGTTCGAAAGTCACTTTTCAAGGTAAAAAAAAAGGAAGCGAAAGAAAAAAAACAAAGGCAAAGATCGATATCGTATTTTTTATTTAATTCTTATCGCTCTTTTAACTTTGCCAATCGTAAATTTTACTTTTTTTTCTTTTTTTCCTATCTTTTTTGTAGATTAGTTTTATTTTGTTTTCAATATATGCATTTATGCAACATTTATCAACATTTTTACTAATCAAAAAAAAAAAAAAAAGAAAGAGAGAGAAGGAAAGAAAAGAAAAACAAAAAGAATGGAGGATTACATTGGAACAAGTTCGTGTTTTTATGTTTCAGAGTGCCCAATGACGCGTGGCAGTTTACCTAACTTGCGATCAGACATAGTAGGAGCCGGTGACAATAGCGGAGATTCAACGGAATCGCTGATAGACGAGGCGGAGGATTATTTGCGTCGCAGTATCGATTCGATGCTGACTATTTCAAGTACCAGTGCTAGTACGGATTATTGGAACAGACAAACAGCGGCCAGACGAAGGAGAACTCGAAGACACTCCGAACCTGATCTTGCACGCGAGTGGATTCCCCCTCAGGATGCGAGACCGTACCTGCCAAAGGTGAATGGCCTGTTTCAATAAATAAATAAATAAATAAAAAAAAAAAAAAAAGCACGGGACTATAACTCTAAAAGAAAGTGCCAACGAGTAAAATTTGCTATTTGTAAAATTATTAATTTTCATTATTACAATATACAGGGTGTAGGGAGCCCTAAAGATAATTTTAAAGGTCAATCACTTTTTTTTCAAGACCTTTCAGTCCAATTGTTTTTTTTCTTTCTTTATTTTTTTTTTTTTTTTTTAGATTTTAAAATTCCGTAAACCAAGAAATTTTTTTCCCATCTAGAAATATTCGGCCTAACCTATTTGTTTGTATATATATATATATTTTTTTCTTCGATAGATACCAAGAGATTTGAAGTTAGATCATCTTGTAAAAGTAATCTCACCGGAAGGAAGAGTACTTCAAGGTCGTGTACGATACGTTGGTCCTGTTCCTGGTCGAGAAGATTCTCACGTTGGTGTTGAATTACCGAACGTTAATGGTTCATCCGATGGCACTTTTCATGGTAGAAGATTTTTCGATTGGTAAGTCTTATTATTATTATTATTATTATTATTATTATTATTATTTATTCTTATGTATATATGTGCACACTTATATATCTTATTATTTTTTAACACGTTAATATCAATGTTATAAAGAAAACATTTTTGTTTTATTGTATTTTTTTTTCTTTTTTTTCCTTTTCTTTTTTTTTCTTTTTTTTTTTTTCTTTTCTTTTAATAAACATAACAATCACAGAATAATGTGTAGAAATCAGTATAAGATTTGAAATTATACAGAATAAGATGTATAGAGGATCTTTGATTTGTTTATTTTCAATATGTTTCTATAGAAATATAGGATATTAAAAAAAAAAAAGGGAGAAAAAGCCCATAGAAATAAGTCAGTAAAATTATACTTTTCGAACTTGCTCGAAGAAAGCAAAAGTCGATATTCGATCAGAGTAAACGTAACTCTTTAAAAAAAAAAAAAGTCCTATGAATTGGTCCAGCTATTTAATTTTCGTAATTGCATAATGTTTTTGAGGTAATGGAACGTAGTACGAACTGCGTGACAAAAGCAATTCTGTTCGTGATAAATCCTCGCGATACCTCCTTCAATGAGCCTCGCCTTGTACATATATACTCTCTCGCTCTTTTTCTTTCTCTCTCTCTCTCTCTCTTTTTGCTTTGCCTCTCTTCGTCTTGTCGTTATTTTACTCGATAAGTTGAATGTGCATATGCATACGCAAATGCAATGGCGTATCTGTGTTTTTATTTAAATGTAATACTGATGCTGTGAATTTGTCTTTTTTTTTCTTTTTTTTAACGATTTAAAAATACGAGATTTAAATAATATTGTAAGACTTTATTATTTATTTATTTATTTATCTCTTATTTATTTCTTTTCACATCGTGTAATATTAACGAATATGTAGTTGATTAATTTTCTTTTTCCTGTTTCTCCTCTTTTTTTTTCCTGTTTTTTCTCTTCTCTTCTTTTTTTTTTTTTTTTCTCTATGAATTTTATTAAATCAAAGCGTTCAAACATATTCATTGATATTTAATAATTAGTCATTTCTTAAGATAATTGATAATTAGTCAATTAATCATTCTATGAACTATATATATATATCCGATCTCTTTATTTACAATTAATAATCATAGTTCATTAAGTTAGTGATTAAGTTGAGTCAAGATAGTTAATAATTTTTTTTAAATGATTTATTATCTAAATTCGATTGATTCGATGTTATATTTGATATATATTAAAATTAGAAATAAATTATCTTTTATGTGCATATATATATATATATGCATATATATATATATATATATATATATATATATATAGAGAGAGAGAGAGAGAGAGAAAGAGTTATGGCAAGAACTATTATCGATTAGAAGGATAAAATGTCTTATAAAATTGCAGGAAGTTTGTCGCGTGAATACTTGTCGTGAGAAATGTCTCATGTAGAGGCACACAGCAGCTTATACGAAATTCACTCGAAATGCGACGACAATGATCGCGTGACCATTATCGACGTCCCTGAAAGTGCGCCTCCTCAAATTTTGATCATGAGTTAGAACATATATACACAAATATACTATCGATCGAATCATTCTCTCTCTCTCTCTCTCTCTCTCTCTTTCTCTCTCTATCTCTCTATATATTTCTCTATTTCTCTCTCTCTACCTTTCTAAATGATAAAATAGACATTTTTTAAGGACAGCACATTTTATACATAAATATAATATTTCATATTTAATTATTTTATCCATTTGAAAATTCTTTAAGTAAATTCTTCGTAAAGATTATTACGATGTTGATTTTCTTTTTCTTTTTTCTTTTTTTTTTTCTTTTTTTTGTTTTAAATTTCTAATTATTATAAAGAATTGGCGAAAAGCTTTTAAACGATTGTAAAAATCAATTAATCCTTGTCAAGACTTTAGTGGTTAATTTGTCCTTCCTTTTTTTTTTCTTCTTTTTTTTTTCTTCTTTCTTTTTTTGTAGATAAATATTGTTAAACAACAAGTATTGCAGAAGATTAGCTTGTGAAATTACAAATTTAATGGCAAGCATAGAAAAATCTCTCGAGGAAGTGTAAGTGATTGAATTTAAAAAATCGTTTAGAAAGTTTTGACCCGTCTAGAAACTTTTGGCCGTCAACCAATCAGGCACCCATCCACCCACTCAACCAACTAAACACCCAGCCTGTATTAACTTCAATGTTTCTGATCGATCCTATTTAAATTCATTTTTCTATTTACAGTGAACCTGACCGTGCGATCTTCGTGCCGTTCAAAAAGGTCGTTTTGGCTTGGTGCACTGCCTGACCCGATGCATCCACTTCGAAAGTAACGCCAAGAATTTTACTCTCACAATATACTATGTAAATGTGGATACGGCGGTATGTATGTATAGCACACATAAGTTTCGCTATGACTTTTATGGTACGTTTGCTGTGGGTATCGTCTCTCTGAAGTTAATACTTTTCTTCCAACGATTTTCGTAAGTGACAAAAGAAAAATAATACTTAATTTTTATTTTTTTCTTTTTTGTTTTTGTCATGTTCATACGAAGAAAAAAGAAAGAGAAAAGAGAGGATCAAAAAGGAAAAAGCAAAAAAGAAATAAAACCGAGAGAGTTTGAAAGAAAGAAAGAACGTAAGAAAAAAAAAATATCATTGAACTATATTTTTTAATTTGAAAATTTATTTTAAGAGTTCAATTGAAAATATCATTGGATGAAATATTTAATAAGAAGAAGAAGAAGAAGAAGAAGAAAAAAAGAAAAAGAAAAGAAAAAAAAGAGAAATCGTTTCGTTTGATAATTATTAAATACTATTATTCGATTTAGAGATGGTGCCAGAAAATATGAAAACATACGTATAATATAAATGATTTACATATTTGCAAAAAAAAAATCACAATTAGACGTGCGTAAGCAAAGCCTACAGTAATGTATATATAATATATATTATATACATATACGCGCACGTGCATATATTTTTAAAGAACTCTCTCTTTATATTATATATATATATATATATATATATATATATATATATAAAATAGTTATTAATAATTATGTAAAAAGGGAAAGAGATATCATTTTAAAGAGGCTACATGTGTATTATTATTTAATGGAAGCTCAGTATGATTGTGTTTTTTTTCTTTTTTTTTTTTTTTTTTTGGTTTAGATATAAGAAGTAACTCTCTTGTACAAATAAGCCGTATACCTTATATACATATATATTTAACATATACATTTATTATCTACTCGCAAAAGAATAAATGACTATAATTACTGATTACATCAGATTACGACACAAAAAATTCGCATGCGACGAATTTCTTTGCAGAGACCGATAATTACGACAAATTATGTATGTATGTATGTACGTACGTAAGCGTATCTTCCAGGTAATATTTTGAAAAAAGATATATGTCAGTTGATTTTCTTCAAATGCTATGAAAAAAGAAGGAAAGAAAAAAGAAAAAAAAAAAATAGAATAAAGAAAAAAAAAATTCTCGATTTCAAATGACTGACATAAAGATTACATTACAATCATTCGAAAAACAGTGATATTTTAGATAATATTTTAGATAGTATTGAAAAAAAAAACGAAAAAAAAAAATAAATAAATAAAAAGGTGGAAAGAAGAAAAGAAACATTTTTCGGTTTATCGTTCGGATTTTAGAAAGGTGTAAAAAAGAAAAAAAAAGAATAATAATAATAATGATAAAATATCGTAATATTCTATTTAGTCACCGAAGATATGATAGATTAAAAAAAAAAAAAATATATATATATATATACATATACATATATGATATGATAATAATAATAATAATAATCTGCCGTTAAAATTTCGATCTCCAGGAAGTTCTTTTCTCAAAATGGAATTGTGTGTTCGCGCTGTGAAAGAAATAGAATTTCATATACCGATGCAGTAACAAGGAACAAATATTCTCGATCAAAATAATAATAATATACATACATACATATATAAATATATATATATATATATATATATGTGTGTGTGTGTGTGTGTATGTATATGTATATTATGTGTGTGTGTGCGTAACTCGTAAATATACGAGCTATTCTCTCTTTTTATGCATAATATAATTGATAATTAATAATAATATATCACGTACCTGTATCATTGACAATTATTACATTTTAATGTGCTATTTATACGCGATTTGTGAATGCGAAATACAGTTATAAAGATATTCGATAATACAGGGTGGACCACAAGAAAGTTTTTAGGAACGGAACTAATAAATCTTATAGATGATTGAAAAAAATCAATCACTCATTTTTTTCAGACCTTTTAGGATAATCCATTTTTCTTCTTCTTTTTTTATTTTTTTTATTTTTTTTTTTTTTTATTTTTATTATTTTCAAATTGTAAAGCTATAAGATCAACGCTTGTAAAGTTACAAGCCTAATTGACAAATCCATAATGTTTTGAAAAAAGGAGTAATTGATATATAAAATTTTGTCTAAAAGATTTTGAATCCGCGTAAGAACTTTCGGGACAACCCTGTATATACATATACACATAATTCTGTAATATGTTAGATAATATTTTATTTTTTTTTTTTTTTTTTTTTTTTTTTTTTTTCTTTAACTCGATATGACAATATTTTTGTTTTTTATTTTCGTTTATTTATTTTTTTTTATTCCCGTTTTTTTTCTTTTCTTTCTTCTTTATCTTTTTCTCTCTTCTTTTTTTTTCTGTTGTTGTTGTTATTGTTGTTGTTGTTGGCATCACGATCGTCGAAGGTCCACGAGTGGCAAAAACTAATATGCATTATAATTTAAAAATAATAACCTTTGCGAGATAGCCTGTACCTGTATATTACATTGTCCATTAAGAAGAAACGCGCCAAGTGTGACGTAAGCTTTTTTTTATTACATTCAGGCGAGTTTAGAAGATTGCTAGGTGTGTCGAGAGAAAGAAACTGCAATTTCTACGTCAATGAAATTAGAAAGAAGAAAGTTTCACCATTTCTTTTTCTTTTAGTTGTTATAATTCATATATATGTGTACACACACACACAAACACACATACACAGACACACACGTATACCATCTGTATATACAAAGTGAGCATAAAAGTTTCTAAGTGGACCAAAAGTTTCAAGGTGATTTTGAAAATCGATAATTTTCTTTTTTCAAGCCTTTTTAGGCTAATCTTTCAATTTGGGGTCTACTTACTAGCTTAAACTTGTAGTTTTATAATATGCGAAAAAAAAAAGAGAAAAAAAAGAAAATAGTTAACCTACAAAGTCTCGAAAAATTGTAATTGATTTTTAAAATCACCTAAGAACTTTCAGTCTAAAAACTTTTGTGGCACATTCTATGTATGTATATATATATATATATATATATATATATATTTGAGCATCATTATGTATTAACACGAATCGAGAGTTAAAAGAACGAATACATATACATACATACGTATATACTTATATACGTAAACATAGACAAAGAGAGACACATACAGACAGAGAGAGAGAGAGAGAGAGAGAGAGAGAGAGAGAGAGAGAGAGAGAGAGAGAGAGAGAGGACATTTTTCTCGTGTTATAAATTTCATTTGATCAATCCAACTATGGAATATTCGCAATCTTCTTGCACGTTCATAACTGCGGCCGAAACAATTTTCAGCGAATCATAACAAGTGATATATTTTCGCGTGACTTCAAGTAAATTTAGTTATGCTTTATTACATTAGATACGATCTTCCGTTTACACATATATATACCTATGTATAACATGCGCACCATACATACGCATACACCTACACATACGAGCTTGCGAACTAAACTCGAATCTGTGATAAGCGGTTTTCGCCTGAAAGTTTTCAATAATTTTCACGAAAAAAAAAAAAGGGATAAAAATTGCACGTGGACGCATAATCTCTTGATGGATTAAAATATTTAAAAAGTATTTCATTTTTAATAATGCACATACATATACACGGAAAGACATTTTTAATGCATTCTTATTAATTAGATTATTTACACATGAGAATGACATTTATGACGTCGTATTTTTTAATTTTTTTTTGTTTATTTTTAAATAACAGAACATAGATTATCAATATCTTTATATTAATTTTGATAGTACTCGAAAGTTCTCGCTCACTGATTATTCTGAATTTTTTTTTCTTTTTTTTTTTTTTTTTCTTTTTTTTTCTTATCGATTTAATTAATTTTAATTAACCAAATAATAACAGAGACACACCTAGCAATACTTGACGATAGTATTTTAGATAAATGTTAACGCGAATTGCGTCGTCTCTTCTCGAATTACATATACAACATTTTATCATTGCCATTATAAAGAAAAAAAGAAAAAGAAAAGAAAAAAAAAATTAGCTAAGTAGTATATTTTACGATTATTATCACTTGCTATAATCGACTTTGGACGAAAGATTTATTATTGATAAATCTTTTTCTATCTACAATAGTTTCAGTACAACATTTTATTTGTGATCGTTGCATATTAAGATTTATTATACCGTTATTATAATTAACTTACTCTTCTGTTTTTTTTATCTTTATTATTATAATTATTATTATTATTATTATTATTATTATTATTATTATTATTATTATTATTATTATTATTATTATTTCCTCACAAAGATTTTTATAATTTTTAGTTTTGTTAGATAGATATATATATGTTATATATAAAACATATGTACATAATGTCAATTTCACACAGACACTGAGCTATTTATATGTACAATGCATACGTATGTATGCGTTTGAAATGCTGAAGTGCAAATATTTTCCAAAGCACGTTTTCAACGGACACATCTAAAACAGCGCTGTTTAACTTCTACACAGACCAAAGGATTAATGAAGTAATAATAATAATAATCATAATAACTATAACAACAGTAATAATAATACAGAAGCTAAATTTATAATTTACGATTTATTTTCTGCGATAGTAAATTTTTTTTTGTTTTTTTTTTTTTCTTTCTTATTATTAGTTGTTAAAAAGAGAAATAGAAATGTAAGGAAAGAAAGAAAAATAAAAATTATAATTAAATAACACGACTAATGGAAAAAGAGAAATAAATTACATTAACGAAAACACTCGAGGATGGATTTCATGTGGTACGAATAAACCACAAGAAAAGAAAAAAAAAAAAATGGTGCCGCGAGCCGGATGTGGCTTTAGTTAGTGTAGAGTCACAGTTAAACAGCGCTGGTCTAAGGAATTAGTTTTGATAAGTCGTAAAAAAAACATAATGCTATACCGTGACTATCTTTTTCTTGGACAATTTTTCTCTTCTACTTTCTTTTTTTTCAATTTTTTTTTTTTTTTGTAGCATTTAGTAAAACGAATATTATATATGTATATGTAAATCAATTTAAGATGGAGGCACACGATGGACCAACACTTTAATTACTATTTTAAATCATCTTTAAAAAATTGTTTTTTTTTCACTGTCTTTTAATAAAATTATTTAAATTTACTTATAGCGATTCTATCATTACAATTTAAATTACACACATACATAAACACACAAGCTAACACAATGATACACTGAAAACACCGTATGAATTTTCTTAAGGCGTAATAAGTAAGAAAAAAAAAAAAAATAAAAAAAAGATAGGAAAAAAAAAGTAGACGAAAGAAAAATAATCATATA